TCTTTGCGGCCAAATTTTGAACTTTTTTTATCCACCAAATTGCAATCCTAACTAAACCAAGAAACTTCACTGGAGATGTCAACTCCATTGGATGCAATTCCAGAGTGTTAATATTGGGCCGTATGAATAAAAAGAGTTTACTTTACTTTCCCGTGCTTTTCTCACGGGAAAAGTAAAGTAAACGCTTTTATTCATACTACATATTTTGTTCCTGCTGCTGGCTACTACTGCCTGGTCTAATGCTGAGTACTGCGAACTAACTCAAAATGCTTGTCATCTGGGAGCCGAGTCGAACTGTCAAACGGGAGCCAAACATTCAAAAGAGCTCAGAAGTCATGTGGGTAGTTACTGTTTGAACCACAAGTAAAGGTGTTGCCACCTACTGAAATCAAATTAAGAATTATAATTATAAAACTGTCGAAACATCAACCTTAGTAGGCGGAAAATGTAAATCATCGAACGTGATGCTCGAATAAGTGTTTTTATTTAATATTAATAATAATGCCAAAACTGGGTTACGAATTGCTGAAACAAGAATTTAATCAAACGGCGCCGGTAGTGTAGTGGTAAGCGTGATTACCTCTCACCCCAGCAGGCCTGGGTTCAATCCCAGTCGGCGCCGCCGGGATGTTCTGAGGCATAACATCTCTGATCACGCCTTCCTTCGGATGGGAAGTAAAGCCGTTGGTCCCCGGTTCATGAGTTTGATGGGTCGATAGGTAGGGTCCAGGTGTGGGAGCTGCCTTCCTGGCACGTCGGTAGCATTGGTGCTCAGCACGGAAAACAAGATCAACGGAAAAAAACAAACCAAAGGAAAAAAAAAAAAAAAAGAATTTAATCAAACTTTATAAGAGTCATGTGAGCTTTGTGGGCAGGTGCACTCCCAACACCATGTATATGTTATTTGTGGAGCAGAGAAGGAGAAGCCAAGAGTTCATTTGACAGCATGTATATACGATTTCGTGAGCTGTTTCAGCAAAACAATTTGAAGCTGCGAAAGATTTTCAAGATGTTTTCTTGCTCACTTGACAAATTAAATCGATAGAGATCGCAATACCCAGGTCTAATGTATTGGGGAAATTTCGGAAATTTGGTTCACTGAACTGTGGTAATGCGAAGAGAAAATCGATGAAGAGTATCGATCATCGTAGTTAGGCTTTTATGAATCTGAACCCTAGTGTTTTCCGTCATCGAATATTTTCACGAAAGTCTATTAACCACAGCAAAGCACAATACATGAGATACCTAAGCGTTCTTTTTTTACGTGAAATTCCATCTTCACCAATCGAACAATATTCTTAGGACAAACACGTGCTAAGGACGTGGTAGCAAACTAAATAAATCTTTCAGTGAATGATGAAAAGCAAATAGAGCATTCCGAGTATAATGAGAAATTCTACCAAAGTAGTGATCATCTCATCAATTATCTAGAAAAAGGCCAATCCAAACACACGAATCCCGTTCATATTCGATCGTTAGGAATTGATGGAGTTATTCCGTTTACCCGGTGTAGATACATATGCAGTGTATCTAAAAATTGTTCGTACACCCTAGAAGAATTTTTTTAAACATGGTGAATTGACATATTGATTGAACAGATGTTTATTGATTTATTGTTATAATTTTAGTCTTTATTGGAGGAGCCTGTATGAAGTTAGATTTATTTCAGTAAAACACTCGATTTTCAACTTTTTACCTAGTGGACGAATTTTAGTAAAATTAGTGGCAGATGAATGATCTGCGACTAAAAATGAGCAAAATTTCTGGAAATTATGTTGATTTTATTTCAAGGAAATAAGGTTTTTCAAGAAAAAGGCGTTTTCCTTAAATTGGTCAAACTTTTTGGAAACTCAACCAAATCTACCCAATACTGATCCGATAATTGATAAATGTATGCTGAGTCAGCTGCCAAAAAATTCAGAGACGAATCTTTTTAACTTGTGCTTTCAGAGCCGTTTTCTAAATGTAAGTACCTACTGCTGTACGATCAATTTTGAGATACACTGTATATGAAACCCCCTACCGGCGAAAGCGCATCGACAAATTATTTTCCTCTCTAACAAATGATTCACCTTGACCGCCACGGGGCGTTTTCGGCCAGCATACATACCGGAGTACCGTCCGACCGACCGACCGACCAACCGACCAACTGAGAACGTCCCTGCTAGAGGGGGGAAAGGAATGGTATAACGAGAAGCGTTAGCGCAATCACACCTCTCCGAGGTGATCCCTGAGCACCAAACTGACCGATCGAGCAGAGATCATCAACCATGGTTTCAGAGCGTACCGTACGGAAAGAAACAATCATAATCAACTGATACCTCGGTTGGGAAGATTGATGATCTCCACTCGCAGTTGATGGTAACTAATGGTCAAAATATAATAAATTTTATTCAATAAATTAACAGAATTTGACGCACTGCGTTGTTGCTTTGGATGTTTACAGATTTCAGTACACATTTTTAGTGAGATTGTGTCTTATCAAAACTCGACGAGTGACAGAGGAAAATTTGGAAAATTCCTTAGAATTTATCTTGAATTCATAATAAAACCAGCACCTTGCCTATCTTCGCTCTATTAGACCTGGATGACCCAAACAATCCATCCAACGTGGAACCGTCAGAGGACAAACGCAAATGGACTCACCTTGAGCGACACCGGTTGTTACACCTTACTCCTAGGGGCCCGGTATATCACGCTGCAGTTCGTTTGCCGATTCAGAGATGAAGAGTGGCACCGCCCGCCACCATCGCAGAGCACATGAGCGATGGTGGAAAATAATTAAGCAAGACACCAAAAGGCGACAAGCGCGAACACAGACTTTATGGCCCAGTTAAGAAAAGGTCGTAAAATTGCCGCGCTCTGGCAAAGCCGAACAACCGGGGGATGAGCAGCAAATGGTAATTAAATTATTTATGGCCATTTCTTTCTCACACTGACAGGATTACGGAGTGCTGCCAACGATGAGGACAATTGCTTGACTGTTTGTTGGTCTTAAGCTGGTTGCACTGCCACGGCCACCATGATTCCGTGAGCAGCTAAGGTGTTTGCGGGAAAGGTTGCAACGCTCGTTTGTACAGAAATGAAGTAGTCATCTTTCTAAAATATGTCCATAAATGTTTCGGTGTGGTGGCATGAGTCGTCCTCTAGTTCGGACATTAAATGTTATCGCAGCGCTGGCCGGTTCGCAACGAGCAGCGTCAAAACTACCTCCGAAACAAGCTTCTGAACCGTGAGAATCTTCGCCAACAGGTAATGTGTTCTGGGAAAAGTAATTTTATTAAAAATTTGAATGTTAGTTTCCACGACCTTAGTTGCGTGCCCTTATTAGGCCGTATGTTGCCTGTCGGGTTGATTCTGCGACAGCTTCTTTCGTACGAGGTGGCCTCTAGCTAGACTCTGAAATGAAATCATCATAAGGGCCTGTCGGAATAGTTGTGTAGGGTCGAGGAATTTTTCCCCCGAACCTACCTGCATCTTGATGGCGGCTTTCTCCTTTTGGATCTTCTGACGAGTCAGATGACCCCGAGCCAGTGATTGTGCCAAGGTAGCAGACTTTTCAAGGTTATCCGTTGAACTGACCCCCGCTGGTGGGTCTTCGACTACTTGCTGCTCGAACCCTCCTACGTTTGACTCCTGAAGCTTCTCTCGAGTTTTCCGCCCACGGAATGCAGATTGAATCCTAATGGCTGCTTTATTCATTTGAGTTTGGTCGCAATGTTCTGACTCTGCGTCTTCTCTCAAAACCATATCAACAATTCGCATTACCTCTTCCCGTGCAGAAAACTTCGGTTCAATTACGTCATCGATTATTTGATTCAAAACTCCAGTTGCAATTTGCTTGTCCTGATGCTTCCTGTACGCTTCCTGAATGATAGCTGCTTTTCGGTCCAATTCTTGCCGCCTTCTAGTATAGTATCCTCGATATGCTGCTTGTATTCTGACCGCAGCCCGTTCCATCTCTTCTTTCGTCGCTCCACTTTCCGCATAGATTTCCAAAGTATGCTTCGCTGCATCCTGCCAATCGCTCGTAACTGCCGGTCCATGATATTCCTTGTAAACGTTTCTCAAGAAATACGTCTTATATGCCCTTTCAATTATCTTCCCAGCGCGCAAAGCTTCACTCTCCGTAAATCCACATTCATCCACTAATCGTTTCAGAACTTCAGCCTCCCGAAAAGCATCCCGCAAATTTTCGTCCGACATCCGCACACGGAAATGCTTTTGGAAAGCATCCCGGATCATCTGCACCGCTCGTTCCGCCTTTGCCTCGTCCATGCCAATCTCGTCCAACATGGTGATTATGTCCAAGCTGGTGTCCAGTACCGTGTCCACCACCTTGTTCGCCACCACCTGATTCTCTCTACGGATCAGCTTTGCTTCCATGTAATCGGCGATAAAATTGAGTACATTTTTTGGTTGAGCGCGCAGCACCTCGCGACTGATTTCCAACATAAGTTCCTTCAGCTCTTCCGGAACGGGGATAACCTTTCCCGGAGTACACTGACGGTGCAGGAGGTAGTTCATGACGTGGTGTGAGCGGAGCTGGAATGTAACTTGACAGTGGGCCGTGAGATGGTTCCTTTGATTGCGATTATTAATTATTGCGCACGTGGTTCGATTCTGGTGGATTTTGAATGTAATGTAGTTTTGCTCCTTATGAATACAATTTTTAATAAAAGACTAATTATTAATAACGTCTAAAGCATCAAATCATAAATTAACTTTTAAAATATAACCGTTCGATTTTGGCAACACTAAATATTCGGGATTGTTACCATAAGCGTACGAATACTGTATTATTATTGCATCTTATTAATTTAAACTCGATTGAACATTTTTTGTGGTTCATTTACCAGGAAAATGAACCAACGAAAAGCTTCTTCAACACTACAAAAAATCATTGCTCAAACCTAATGGATATGTGACACCTTACATGTGGCGTTGCATTATTTCATTAAATGAATGACTCTTTTATTCTAGCTATCCCCTACTCCCGTGCAGAGCTTGGCGACATAACAATTTAATAAAGTGTGCGACACATTTGTTTATGACTTGACACATGTTTTCCTGGGCCAAAGGAAAAAAAAGAAGTCAACACTCCTACTCCATTCAAATAACCCAATCGAAGTGCAACATGTTTTAGGCCTTTTAGAGAAGGTGCTTTGTCCTCCGTCATGGCATTCTGTTGATCTTGTAACAAATTCATTCTCAATTTACCTCGTTTTCACCGAAAAATTTATTGACAGGCAGCAAAGTGCGCCCTTTTCTCTTCGTCCCGGTTCAAATTGCATCGGTGACTGTCAGACAATGTGAAAGGGTGCCTTTCCAGCGTGGAATAAAGGGGGAAATTATTTCTTTTTTCCTTATTCCAATAAATTGCAGCTAAACAATCCCGGCTGACAACAATAAAAAACCGATTTTGTAACCTCAAATGTAACATTAATTAACACTTTCCGCCGTGGCCGTGTTTTGTTTACTTTCTTGACAAGATGCCAACAACTGTGCTGACAAGTCCCCTTTTTATAATTGTTTAAAATTGAGTGGAAAGTTAGAAAAGCGAGCTCGAAATGAATGGTTTTTAAAGGATTCTATTTCATAGCCTTTCGTCAACGCCAATGATGCAATTACAGTAGGTAATTCAATATAATATAAGAGCTATTGAGGTAATATGTACCCCAGCAAGAGGCAAATTGACTCTTGGTCGCTGGCTTTGCTAAAATGTTGCTGCAGAATGCTCGACAATGTTGGAGTTCAGGGTTTTAACGGATCTTCATGCAGCTTCTTGAGGACCGCCATTAGCCAGATTTGTAAAGCAAACTATGCTGTGAAATTGGTTTAGAAGTCCGGTCCGTCCAACGATCAGGTATTGACTCATAATTAGCACATTATCAGATTATTAATTTGATTGATATTTTCATCAAATATTTCAATAGAGATGGTAAAATTTACTCAAATGAATACACAATTAATTGAACCTCTCATGAGGATAGCAAGTTCATGATTAAAAAAAAGCTCTCGTATATATTTCTTAAAAAAACTAAATTTTAGATGACAATTTATTGAACCATCTGTAAATTTTATGACTTAAGATTACTTCTGATTGAAAACAGTTTTTTTTCTTGAATTCTAAGATTGAAAGATATGATACAACAACAATACTTACAAATGCACTGATGGCGCATGGATAGGACCCAATTTGTACGTTGTGTGTAAATTAATTGACACGAGTATTATTATTTGACTGTCATGCACATTAAAACATTGTCAAAGGTCTGCACTCTAACTTGGAAGTACTTTCTTGATCATAAGTTTGGGTTCACCCTTTAAAAAACATGTAAATGTTTTTTTGCTCATAGGGTAGTGCGCTACTTCGTCGTAATTGCCCATTTCCGTTCTATCGATCGGAAAAGATCAATAATATCAATGATTTCACCATGTAAAAATCAACAATAGGTTTGTTCCGATGCGTTAGTTCATTAGCTACAACATAAATCCTATTCTAGCGCATTGTATCAATATTTAGGTTAATTTTTCTCAAGCGTTCCTAGCGAATCCCCTTTTTCTACGTTTATCCGTAGGATGGCGTTTTAATGCGCTACCCAGGTAACAATTTAATGCTTAACAAGTTGTGTTCAATCGATTTTAATTCAGCCTTAGTTTGAATAATTGTTGTACATATTACCACGGTGATTTTAATCAGCTTAACAGTTGTATAAATTATAAGTATAAAAGGCATTAAACAACAGTCTTTTCCAACCCTTGTTTAGCCTTCTAGTTTTATTTAGATAAAAAAATAATGGAGACCGCTTCATATCTTATACATTTTATGGGACTGCAACAAGGTGCTGACTAACTAATTGGATTTATATATTTATATTGTTACTATAAGTCTAAAAATTACCTTTGCATTTCGGGATTCAAACTGGCAGTCGCTGATTCACAGGCATTAATCATACCTACGTAACCACTTAAGCATATGTGTGGCAAAAGGTATGATAATTAACTTGAAACGCGTCAAATTTAAGTTGAATAATAGCAACCGGAAGAGTATTACGGTATTACACAGCAATGCATAATTGTAAACAACAACTGGTGACAGTAAAACATTCTTCTCATTTTCAAGTGTAATCAACACAATGAAGACACAAGTGCGTTTCGATCATGTGGAAGCTGTTTTAGTGCCATAATACAAATGTTAAAGCTTCCGACTTCGTCACAGCCCACTTATACCTGGAGCTATTCCTAAAAAGCTCCTCCTGCTGCTGCCGCTGCTTGGGATTAGAAAGGTAGGCAGTGAATTTAGAAGAACTAAAATGCCGGCAATGCAACGAGTGACACTGACTACATTTAACAAATCAGGCTATCAACATATTTGTAGTGCATTGCTGATTTGTGGTGTAGTGTTAAACTAAAATAAGGCTTGTTCAATCTTTAGATCAGCTAACTTATTGAGGTTGAATTATGGAGATACAATTAGCTTCACGCACTACTAATCAACTATATATTCAGCCTGCTGTTAATCAGCTTTGTTCACCTTAAATCAACCAATAATCAGCTTCAGTTCTTACTGTTCAGCTTAAATTGTTACTTGGGTAGGACGGAATTGAAACTCGTCGAATTTAGAATCAAGAAGTAGAATTAGATTTTAAACAATATCTCAAACCCGCTTAAAAAAGAGAGGTAAATCGCGGGTTGTGCTTAGGGGCTGTTCATTAACTACGTAGACAGTTTTTTTTTGAATTCTTGACCCCCCCCTGCGGAGACAATTTTCCATAAATTTTTTTTTAAATTTGTATGGACCGTGCATAATTGCCAACCCCCCCCCCACCCTAAACTATCTACGTAGTTTATGAACAGACCCTTAGTAGGACGGAAATTAGATCAAAAATCCTATCTCTGCCATTTTACGACTGATTTTCATTGAGCTATTGATTGAAATTTAATTGGTCGGTAACTGTTTCAATATATTTTACAGTTTCTGTACACTAAAACTTTTCTTAAAGTTACAACATTTTCTAAAATTCACTCTGAATATTCATAACGTATATTCTCAGAATAGGGTCAGCCAAATTTTGAAATGAAAGTGGTAGTAGAACCCTTATTCTATACCCATCGAGATTGTGAAAGTTTGTTTTTTTTTCCTTGATTTGTTTTCCGTTGATCTTGTTTTCCGTGCTGAGCACCAATGCTACCGACGCCAGGGAGGATTGAACCCAGGCCTGCTGGGGTGAGAGGTAATCACGCTTACCATTACACCACCGGTGCTGCTGAAAGTTTGGTTTAAACTTTTAGAATATGCTTTAAATCAATAAAATAGTTATTCTAGTCATCGATCAAAAGTTTGGGGTCACCCCACGTTAAGGTTTGTCGCTAATGTAAGTTTAATTGAAGTTTTAGTATATTACATAAATGGGAAAACATATAGAGCCCTCTTTTGTCCATTATTGGGTAACAGTTACTCATTGAATGGTAAAAAATTATATTCCACCCACTTTCCCCAAAATGACTGAAATTGTAGTCATTAATGGGTACTTTCATGTTACAGTGTGAGATAAATTTGTGCTCAAGATAAATATGAGCCAAAATCAAGAGATTGGCAAGGTTTTTAAATAGATAGGGGTGGTAATGGGTTCAGCCATACTAACTCCATTACAGTGAGAGCTCAATTTTTACAACACGACACTTACCGGAAAAAAAAGTATCTCGCTAATTTTTTTCTCTCTAAAACACTTCAATGAGCTGTACTTTTTCCGGTTGTATGAAATTTTCTGAAATCTTGGCTGCTGGTTGATCAAGTATCCAAGACTTTGAATACAATTGAACACAATTTTAGCTCATTTGGTTTAAGAAATTGCAGTATCATAAAGTGTATACCAAAAAGAGGGGTTTTACTAAAATTACTCAAACTTCATACGGTCTGTGCAAAATTATATCGATTATTCTTGGATACTTGGCCCACAAGTAGTCAAGATTTCAGAAAACTCCATGTATATCCGGAAAAGTTACAACTCTGTTAAATTTTTTGGAGAGGGAAATAAATTGCGAGGTTGTATCCTAACAAGAGAGAAATACTTAAATTATAACATAATTATATTAATTTCTGTTATTATTAACACATGTTGATATGATTTTGTTTCAGGATCTCATTTCAGTGTTGTGGTTGCACTTTATTTTATACACTTTGTTTCCAGCGGAGGCATTCATGTCTGCTTCAGTGGTTTAAGTGTAATAGTGTGTGGGTGTAAGTGATAGTGTTTATTATACAAATAAAATTCCACTCAGCTTTTATCTCCATTGCTCGTTGCTTCTTCTTCTGGTTCATCGACTGCTTGCTAATTGGATTTAATCTCTTGTTTTTGATTCTTCTTCTCTGCCAATTTCACCTGTACTTATTTTATCTTTTCATAATCTTCTTTCTTCATCACCTTCGTTTTCTCCGTAGCATTCGTCCGTTTCTTACTATCTGCCATGTTTTGGTTTGCTCCGCTGTATCCAATTGCGGTTCCTCTTCACTTCGTTTGCAT